GAGCACGAGCGCGCGCGCCCTACACCAACCCGCGCCGCCGGCGAGGCGCGCACGCCGCGCACTCCGGCCCGCTCCCGACGGCGAGCCGGCGCGCACCCGCTCTCCCCGGAAGTCCCCCGCCTCCTCACAGCCCCTCTTCACGCTCCCTGGCCCCTGCGCCGCCCGCCGCTGGGCTACTGGGACCGCCTGCCTCCTCAGCTGCAGCGCCTCCTGCGACGACTGAGATGCAGGGGCGCAGCCTACCTGCTCCCAGACTCCCTCCTGGGGCTGGAGAGCGACCTGCGGGGACAGGCGCCGTGACCCCAACTTGGCGTGGTCGCGTGCTGTAGCCCTCTGCTTCCCTATCCCCGACCTAACTAACTTGTAAAGTTCAAATTGCCCCTTTTCCTAGTGGTCCCTTTGCAGGACCTATGTAGTGGCCCTCCTTGATAATACACTTTATGGTACTGTTGAAAACGACTGATGGCAGATCCCCGGGACGGACGGAAGCTCTGAACCGGAGGAATGAGGAAGAGTATTTGGTTGCAGCTAATTCAGCGTTAAAACAGAAAACTGACAACAACCCCAGAATATCACCGTTAAACTCCCAGGTCTGACCTACTTTTGTGTCACTTGCGGGTCATTCATGTCATTCCTGTGTTAAAACATACTTAGAAACGCACACCTAAGCAAAGTGAATAGTTTCGATTAGTAAAAATACTACCTATTCCACTTTCGAATTGAAAAACTTGGTTTGATGTGGAATTATGCCACCAGGTAACAGTGAAATGAAACTCTAAATTGGAGTAAACTGTTTTGTAGAAGTTCAGGGTTTAAATTACTACAAAGATGGAATCTCACAAAATGTGAAGTCCCTTCTCTTACAGATGTGTTCTCCCACAGTTGGGCTAGGAACAATACCCTAATCTATTTTGTGTCCTTAACATTCTCTTTAGTGTCAAATCAAGGTTTAGCAATTTTCCCACTTTCAGAACCACCGGTATTCTGGGCGGGGGAGGGGGGTCCCCTCACCCATTCCCTTGGGGCCTGTCTGGCCTCCAGCGCTTCATGCCCATTGTCTTGATATTTGGACTTTAGAATCCTCTGTTCTACTTGTCTAGCAGTCCTGGACACCAAGATAGGCACAAAGAGAAGAATGACAAACCACTGACTGCAAACATGAGGTCATTCTCTAGAATTTTTCATAAGCAATTTTACATTTTTCATTAGGTGTTGTTTTAAACCAGAAGATCAAATGTCAAAGCATGTTTGGACCCAAAATACTGACAATGACTGGTGTCAATAAATAAAACACCCCTTTAGGATTCATGAAATATTTGTCACTAAAGTGAAGGTGCTTAAAATTTTAAACCTCCATCTATAATGATTAGATTATCTGTTTGTTTAGAATAAACAGAAGCTATTTATTAAAAACAAAGAGAGAGCAAAGACTACCACCACGTCCTGTCCATCATCTGCCACACATGGTGGGGTGTCACTCCAGGACCCTTCAGACACATAAGATTATCCCTACCCATTAAACCATTGATGTCTCTGTCATTTTTTTAAAAAACCTAAAACAAAAAACAAAACAAAAAGAAAAGCAAAGAATATAACTGTATTTACACAGAAAAAAAAAAAAAAAGCCACCAACTCACCACCTGCATGACTATGGAAGGGTTTCTTATTGCCCAAGCCAGGTCTGTCTTGTTCATCATTGTATCCCTATACGCTAGCACAATGCTTGCAACATATTGAGGGCCCAATTATTGACACACAGATATTGAGGATTAGAAGATTAAATATGAAAATATATGTTAAATATCTAGCAAAATGTCTAGTTCAGGGAGGGCAATTTTTTCCTAAGTGACTCCTTAAGATTGATTTAAAATATAGATTTTTTTTAATTTAAAAAAGCCTTTTATTTCTGTGAAATAAAAGACTGTAGTTTGTTAGCCACAAAAACTCAACCCAAGTGTATTTTCCAGTATCCTCTGTTACTAAAGGAGCAAATAGGTTTTAGGCCCTATTTCTCTCTTGGGTACTGTTGCATATGGTCTTTCTCTTTGTTAAGAAAATAGTTTAAAAGAATGCTTTATAAAAGCTATGCTTTGGAATACTAGTTATTTGTTCAACAACAACAACAAAATTTGAGCTCTTAGGATGTGTTTCACAGTATGCTCAGTGTAGGGCTTCAGTTGTCAATAATTACATTTTCCCTGTTTCAGTGTAGTGCTATGAGAGATAAGTTAAGGACGCGTCGACTGAAACAATGCACAACCAAAAAGTTGAGATTTAGTTTTATTCAGCAGACATTTCTGAAGACTTAAGCCCAGATCCAGATCACCCTCTCAGATCCTCTCTGAGGGACTGCTCTGAAGAGATAGGGGAGGAGCCAAGATATATAGGCATTTTTTTTTGACAAAGACCAGGTAGTCGAAACATCAAAAGATTACTATTAATTAAAGAAAACCAGACATCTGAAGTTAAGGAATTTAGCTCTTTTCTATGTATGGGAAAGTGAAAAAGTCTGGGCTCATTGATATCATTCCTTTGATATACACCTAGCTATCTGGGGCCAGTATCCTGTTCTTTCCTATCCTGAGTTCCCTTGGGTGCCCCATTGTGGGTGGCTGCAGAGGCAGGGTGGCTCGCTTGTCTCCATCCAGAGTCCTCCGGTCCCCCAGGGGCAGTGACTGATGACCTGATGGCCGTATCATCCTTTGTTTACTGATAGGGCAGGCAACATTTTTCATTCACAGAAGTTTAAAAAAAAGCATGAGTTCTTTGGTCACAAAGCAACAGACAACCAGTCTTCAACAACCAGATTTCAGCAAAAAGGAATTTGATGAACGGATTTACAGGAGCTCTGAGAATTAATGGTCAGCCTACCTAGATAACCAGGCTAGGAAGCTGACAGGATTATAGCAACTCTGGAGGACACAGCAGCAGTGATAACAGGATAATGTCAGGCAGGAATGTCATGATCGGGTGCCTTCTGCTGCTGGAATGGGTCAACTTCGATCTATTGCTCTTTGATATCCCCAATTCAGATTCCAGCTTTCACCTGTCCTGACTTGGAGTGCTGGCCTGCCCCTTAGCTGGGGTAAGGTTGGCTCACTGACTACAGCCCCACCAGACTTGAGAAAGAAAAATGGACCATTGGTGGCTGGAAAATAACATACATTCACCAAAAAAAAAAACGATAGGGTGCCGGGGTCACATGAGTTGGGGAAACACTGAAAACTGACTCCTTGTGATATTGTTGTATTAAAGACTATGAGATCTTAGAGTAAAGAAACCTCTTTTACTTTCTTAAACTATCCTGGAACTTGGTTTAGTTGGACACTTTTTTTTTTCAGCTCATCTATTAATGCACTTTGAGGATTTTGGAACACAGTAAATTGTTGTAGATTTTTTTTTCCATCTGTCATCACCTTGTCCATGGACCAAGATGTGAAAACAGAGCATAAACCTAGTGTTATCAAAGCTTTTATAAACTCTGTATTTTAACAATTCTGTGGAAATCATAGAGAGTCAGAAGTGTCTCTGGATATCAAATTTCAACCTAAAACCACATCATAAAAGTGAGCCTTGTCATAACTCCTTCTTCAGCCCCAGAATGAACACCTGTCATAGCTGCCTTGTCCCACAGCAAATGAGGAGTTATGTGTCATTCTTAATGCCAGTGTCATGGTTTCCTGTTATGTCCATAGTGACGTTAAGTCGTCACTGAGCCAGATTTCTAATTACTGTACTTCCAGAGAGAACAGATCATTATTAATTATGCCAAAGCCAAAATTGATTTTTGGCTGACATTCTCTAGTTTTCAAATAGAAACTATAAAATAACTCTAGCTAACACCTTAATTTATTCAATTGCATGTGGGTACATTTTGTAGCTGATTCATTCTGCTTATCAGGAGCTAGTGTCATTCAAAACTAGTTATGCCATGGGAAAATCTTTTACCATTAATATTTTTGATGTTTATATTTTCTGTCACATTCTCTGTCACCAAACGCTGTTGTTGTTTATGTTGTTTTCAATCTAGTTCAGTCTAATCAACTAGACACATAATGGATGCTTGGTAAATATTTACTGTACTTAATAGAAAGTGATCCTTACCCCCAAGACAGAATATTTTAACTGTACTACTAAATAGGTACAAACTAAATACAAAAGGGATTCTTCGTCATCATTAGGGTAAGGCAACTTTTAAAATAAATTGTATTTTTTCATGTATCAGGTTGGCAAAGGTATAAAGGATTATATTGTCTAGGTTTAGCATGTGTGTAAAATAAGAATTTATGAGAATGCAAGTGTATACAAACATTTCCAATGACAACTTGCCAATATTTTCATTTGTTTTTTAACCCACATCCTTCTTGGTACAGCAATTCCAGTTCTAGGAATTTATCCTAGGGTTACTGTTGGTTTGCAAACTGGTCCCATAAACAGACAGCAAGGAAAGACTGAAGAAAGAGGCAGACCACCTCAGATTAGCAGGTGGATGGTTTAATAAGCAAGGGAACTTACATAAGAGTAGAGCTCTGCTCCTGCCTTCCAGAATCTTCAAAGTTTATACATAGAGGCCTTAATAGGGTTTGGTCACATATGTCATCCCTACAGTCTCAACAATACTTTACTCTCCCAAGACTGTGCCCTTGGAATAGCTCCCACTTTTGGAACAGTGGGCAGAATATACATTTCAAGGACAAGGGAGGGAGTGAGGAGCCTTCAATTGCCTGGGTCCAGCTTGA